AGAACGTACAAACAAAAAGGAGTAGGGTTTAGATTAAGAAAATTTACCATTCACACGGTGATAAACAATTTTAACCAATGCACATCCAACATCCAACCGGGACTTTAGTCCCCGCTTTTTGAAATCCCAAACCTATATTTCACAAAATGAAATAGTCAATGCGGAGAGGTAGCCATATCAAACTAAGCAAATATTTACTTAAAAGAGGAGCACGAGCGCATCATTTACGCTTTGCAATTGTAAGACAAACGAAAACTTTCCGAACCTTTATATCCCCACGATATCCTGCACTTAACATGAGTGTGTTTGTGGAGTCGCAAGCAACTCCAACCACTTCACCATCATGGGAGTAACTTGTTTTCTCTGACATATCCAGGTAACTACCACGGCTGATTCCAGATTGGAGATTGAATCTCTCGATCCACCCACCCGCAGTTCCAACTACTGCAAAGTTTCCACACGCACTGATTGCACAAGCCTGTCAGACAAGCAAATTTTAGAGTTCAATAACCACTAGAGACAAGACTAAAAGACCAGTACAGCAAAAAGCGGATTATTCAGTCTACTTCTACACAATTCAAAAGGCAAACAATATATGCATTATAAAGACTTTCACAGTAATCATGTTAAACTCATTTTTTGTGACAAGCACAATATGAAGCTATGGAAAAGGGGTCAATATTCCAAAGTTCCAGTCCTAACAGTAATCAAATTTCACCTATAAGGACTGAAGCAGTTCAGAAGAGTGATAAAAATCAGAAGTGAGGACAGTCAAGTTCAATCTTGAACCTTAATCGGTGTTGGATTCTCAGGGCATGGTTTGAGGATATGTTCTCCAAGAACAAAGTTCTGAAGTCTCCAGACATATGCTTCTGCTGTGTCCATATGGCACGTAACCACATTGCACCAATCACGCTCCCTAATTTCAGCTTCAATTTTCGGAAAGAAATGAACAACAGCATTAGGATGTATAACATGACATAAGGTAAAATAATTTCTACATGGGGACCAACTAATAAAATTTTATGTGCACTATTACGCCGACCAGTTAGGACCTAGTTTCTACTCAAACTATTTTGTATAATTCAATTGCCTTCAAGATTTTCTTTCTCCAGACATCATGATACTAAGAATGTGACTGAATGAAAATGACCAACATGATTATATAACAAAAAAAGTAAAGATCAAGTATTGTTGATAAGTACCGCAATCAAACGCAATAACAGGCTTCAATTTCAGCTCTTCCTCCTACATAGAGAAGAAGAAGAAGATCATTAGCAAGAAATCAATTAATTCCAAGCACACATAACATATACAACTACTTCCCGAACACATAAAACATCAGAAACACGATAAATAAGGTATGCCATTTGTTAAATTCAATCAGAAACACCAAAATCACGCTAACTGACCCTTACAAAAAACAGAACAAATCCTCTAACTATACCTTCAATCGGAGTTTTTTGGCTCGCCTGGATATGTGTCTTTGTGATAACTCTCTACTTTGTTGCTCCTGATGAAGAAATTAATGTAAAGGAAAACGTTTATCATCAATGACAGTAAATCTTTAGGAAGAATACAGACCAAAAATTGAGAAACAAGCTACTCACTAATAATAAAGAAAACAATCAGATTCATGGGTAATCAACCAAATTCATGTAAAGATATTCCCATCAAAAGAACTGAAAGGTAGGGCGAGTTAAAGACAAGAAAGACTAAAATTTTGCAAGTGACATCTAACAAATATGCTAGCCAATTTCGTAAACTTTGCATTTAAGCCAGAAGAAATAGAGAAAATACTTTTTTATTAACTATTTGATCTGACAATACCGACCTCTACAACATTTTATAATTGTCGCTAAATGATGCCGAAGGGGACTAGTTTCCTAACTTTTGTGGTTGTAAAGTGACAAATGAATAGTCAATGTCTAAAAATCTAACTCAAAAGTTACGGACTACCTATAGGTTCCGTAACTGAGATTTCATAATCCTGATAGAGAATAGTTAATAATTCTGTAACGTATCTTACCTGGATCACAGAGAACAGGCGGAAGGCACGATCCTGGCCAGCAGACAAAATGTGCCGTCCATTAGAGTAGAACCTACCAAAAAGAGAAACCAATTATGATTACAAGACGAATTCTTGGAATGCCTTTGCCACCGTGGGAAAACACTATGTCTACGAAACACAAATAGAGATAGTCCCAGTGGAAAAAAAAATCAATAAGTGAACTTTTTTTAAGTATCAGCAGGATGACTACTATGAGTTACTTTAACAATAAATAGAAATCTGTAGTGCTAATTCTATACCAACAAAATTAAACCAATACAGTCTCGCAAGTAAAGATGTAAGGTAAAGGCAAATGGAAGCAATCAAGTGTTTTAGCAGTGTGTTAATGTTCAAGGTAAATTACCTGATACACAAGGGAGGGGCACTATGCCCAGAGCGGAAGCGTAATAGGCGAGGATCACCATCATTTGTGTCAAAAATCCACATCTACAAATACGAGGCATCAAAAAAGTAAATCACCTGGAATAGTAGATGCAAATAAGTTTGGCAGGTAAGAGAGTTCAGCTTACTTTGACCGAGTTATCTGCTGATGCACTCATTAGCACAGGTTCATTTGCTAAAAAGTTCAATGAGATTATAGAACTGTCATGTGCATCTCTAACGACCGACTGAAGCCTTTTTTTGTTAAGATTCCAGATGCTAATCACACCAGAAGAACCTCCAGACGCAAGAAGGGGACGCCCATCTAACATGACAGGATACATGTTAGCATTGAGAAGCAACTAGCCTTCATTAGCTATAAAAGAGGATAATAGTAAAAGCTACTAGTACAATTACAACCTTTACTATGTGGGAAAACTTAGCCTACACTCATTTTTTCGACCCTTAATATACATGGACAATACTAATTCATAAATTATGAGTTTGCATAGATGGTAAAGCTACGTAATGGATAAACAAATATTTAGCTCCATTGAAAGAGAACAGGAAAGACTTTTTTTCAGGTCGCTTCATTCGTAGAATATCAGCAAGAAAAGATTGATAAACTAGAAATCAGATTTAAAAAGTAATGTACAAAAGAAAGCATTCAGACGTTGAACAAAAATGAACTCCAAGGCCTCAGTGCTTACCTGTGCTGAAAGACAAAGCAGTAACGGCACCTCGTGAGGCGTGTTCAAATGTTACAATCTCTTCATCCAATTTTATATTATGCACATGGATCTTTCCGTCAGCACAACCAATGGCAACCACATCCAGGGCAGGGGATGAAACACAACTGCATACAGATGAACCCCAACCCTTAAACTCATAGAGCATCTTCTTAGTATTTATGTTCCATAGCTGCATCGAACCCTCTTGGCTCCCTACAAGAACCTGCCCATGTGGTTTTCGGTAAGAGAACTGCGCAAGGATTTTCCAAAAGCCTACCAAAATAAAAAAGACGAAAGAGAATTTCAACCAAGTAAGACATACCTTGTTCAAATACGTATCTGGGTGAACAATACAACTAGGAGTAAACTTTCCAGAGAGCTGAACATGTCCAATAGGAGCTAGATGTTCTTCGATTCCTTTGAACGCCCATATAAACATATTCCCCTCAACATCAAGACTTAGGACGTGTTCTCCAAACAACAGAAGCAAGTCAACTTTAGCCACATGCTTGCTCCATGTTGCAACCTGACATATAGCCACAAGAACTTTAGCTTTGAAAACTTAACCCTTACCCTATTTATGGTTTATGTTAGTCATACATACCTGGTGAGCGCGTTTGAAAACTGCGATTTCATTTCCAAAAGCAGCGAAAGTGAAGTCGCGGTAAGAAGCTAGAGCTCTGATTTTCTTTGGGAGTTGAGGACCTTCGAATAACACAGATTAGATTATAAGCAAACCAAGGCTTAATGGGAACACTATCAAACATAATTACACTGCACAGAGCTTAACTTAGACAAGATCAAATCCTAAATGCACAAACTTTTTTGCAAGAAAACATTCAAAATACAAAAAAAAAGAAAAGAAATTTAAGCTTCAGACAAATGTAAACTTACTGATAATGACGAGATTTAGCTTGGCGCACTGTAAGAAAAGAGAGACGAGAGAAGATTAAACCAAAAGCTCAAACAAGAAACGAAGTAAGTATAAATGAATAAAAAAGGCGATGGCTTTACGTTATATATCTGGAAAGCTTTGCCGACGCTGACGGTGACAAAGGTCTCCGTGCCCAGCCGCTGGACGGAGAAAGGAACGGTGCTCGTTATGTATCCGATTGCTCTAAACGGTTCAAAAATCCCCATCTTCTAGTGTTCAAACTGTGAGAATTCACAAGACCCGATAAATTAGGGTTTTGAATTTCACAGAAGAACCTATGGGATTTATCAGTGGTCGGAGAAAAGAGTTTGAGAGAGAAAAGCGGCTCACGAGCGATGGAGGAAACAACAAAAACAAACACAAAAAGGGGTTTAGGGTTTAACGAATCAAATAAAATAAAAGTTCCATTTTTATTTTTTGGTCCGATCTGTTATTTTCGGTTAAGGTGAACACTTGGTTCTCCGGTTAAGAATAATTCGGTTTACTAGTGTTTTCTTTTCCTACCAAGTTAGAACAGAATACTTTTTTTTTGTCGACAAGTTAGAACAGAATACTTTTGTTCAATTTTTTTGATAAATAGACAAAACAATAATGTTAATTATATATGTAAGAAATGAAAAATTGTAAATTATTGATAAGAATTTTGAGCCGTCTCGTGTTTGATCCCCTCTCAGAACTTCATTCATATTCATTTTGTCAACACATTTTTAGATTTCTCCAAATCTTCACTCTATGTTGCTGCAACGGAGAGAGTGAGATTGCCGCAAGTAACTGTACCAAGAGGTACACTCTTGTGGTAAGAATTGACGGTAAGTTACAGGCTGACCTAAGATTGCTAATAATGTTCGGTTTGTCCAAGACTTAACCGAACATAACTACCTAAGGCACGAGAAGACAGAGTGAAGAAATCTGTTGTGGAGGCAAAAGGTCATGAATCTGATACGCAAATAAGTGTTTTCTTCAATCATAGAAATAACCAAACAAACCTCAAGTAACAACAATGTCTGTAACAACACCTAAACATAATGATAATATTATTACCAAGAACTAAAATCTTACTGAGAAAGAGTTTCTTTGAGCTCACCACTCTCACTGAGCTCCATGATGATATCACATCCTCCAATTAACTCACCTTTGTAGTAAAGCTGAGGAAACGTAGGCCAGTTTGAGAAATCCTTGATCCCTTGTCTCACTTCTTCATCAGTCAAGATATCAAACGACCCGAAACTCACATTCTCTCCTCTCAGTGCCTTCACAACTTTGGAGCTAAATCCGCATTTCGGCTCATCTGGTGAACCTTTCATGAAAAGCATAACCTTTTCAGAGTTGATCAACGTCTTCAACCTATCTTCAAGACTCTGTTTCCCAACGACTCCTTTCTCGGACAAAACTTTTTGCAGCTCCCCGCTCTTTTGCATCTCCAAGACAATGTCTGACCCACCTAGAAGCTCTCCTTTGACGTAGAGCTGAGGATAGCTCGACCAGTTTGAGTACACTTTAAGCCCTTGACGAACTTCGTCATCCAAGAGTATATCGAAACTCCCAAACTCGATCTTTTCTTGCTTCAGAATCTCAACTACTTTCCCGCTAAACCCACACTTTGGCTCCTCTGGTTTTCCTTTCATGAACAGCATCACTGGTTCGGAATTGACAAGGCCTTGGAGCCGAGCTCGGAGGGTCTCGCTTAGCCCTGTGTTCCCTGAAGTTATCCCTCCTCCTTTTGCAGCTTCGTCAAGACTTTCTTTTGAACCAACCGTAGTGACGATCCCCATATCGATGAATGCATCTTTCAGCTCACCACTCTCGTGCATCGCTATCGCGATATCAGACCCACCAAGAAGCTCTCCGTTGCAGTAGAGCTGAGGAAACGTTGGCCAGTTTGAGAATTTCTTCAAACCTTCCCTCACTTCGTTGTCAGAGAGTATATCGAAGCTCCCGAAATCGACATTCTCCTCATTCAAAATGTCGACCACTTTCCGGCTAAACCCGCACCTAGGCTCTTCAGGTGTACCTTTCATGAACAACATGACAGGGTGAGAGTTGGTGAGCTTCTCCAAACGGGTTTTGAGAGCATCGGTGGTGGTGGATGTTACAGGCTGAGCTCGGTCCTTCGCGGTGGCTTTCGCATTCTCCTTCACGGTTTCGAGAATCGTTGGCCCTGCGGCTAAGCCTAGGCTTGCAGGAGCAGCAGGCTCAGAAGAGGTAGTTGAGCCGGCGATTTTGCCAACCTTATTGGCTAAACTCGATGGATCTGCCCCCTCAAGTGTATCCACAGTTTTGCCATCCTTCAAAATAAGAAAATTCACAGTCAGAAGAAAGTAAGAAACTTTCAGAACAATCACAACAGTGCAAGTGAAAAGATTCAAGCTTTTTTAAACAAAGCAAAGGGAATAAGTTTTGATTTCACCAAGGTTTGACAAATTGATGAAGTACTACTGATTCTGGAGCTAGATTGATTTGGGAAACAAAAACCCTAAACACTTCACTGTTGAACTTTCAATCAAACATGGCAAAAGCCCATAAAAATTTTACCTTGAAGAAGACGAAATACGGCACAGCAGCAACAGCGTAAGCCTCAGATATCTCAGGATTCTCCTCAGCTTCTACCTGAGAAGAGAAGCCATAAACATCAAAAAAAAGCTAATTACATAGGATAGAGATGAAATCGATTTGTCATTGGGTTTCAGAAAAGAGCGAGCGACGAACCCTAAAAAAGTGAGCTCGAGGGAAATCGGTAGCGAGATGAGAGAAAACTTGATCCATCTGCTTGGAAGCATCACACCAAGAAGCCCAGAAGTGAAGCACGACGGGTGCGCCGCTCTGGCGCAAGTTATCAAGCTCCGACTTTGAAGCGATATCCTTCACCGCACCACCCATATCTTCGAAGAGAAAGAGAGAGAGAGCTCTTACGATTTAGAGATTACACAGTCGCTTCTCTCTCGGAAGAATCTCGAACAATTCTTTTTCTGTGTGACTGATTATCAATGACGGAGGATTTTTCTGTCGCCAGAGAAAGCTGAAATAATTATGTAAATAAAAAAAGTAAAGGGCTTTACGAAAAGAATTACATTGTGGGCTTTTTTTTCGAATGTGATGCTAAATTGCTAATCACTCATTGAGTTTCTCAAACCTGTTCTTAAAAACTTCATAAATTAAAAATATTAGAATTTTAATATTTTATTAATTTATTAAATTATTCATTTATTGAATAAAATAAATAATATTATATTTATATTTTAGTAAATTATCATATAGTTACGTATTTATATAAAATTATGTTTATACTAATTATTAATTTATTATATAAATAGAATTTATACTTACATTGATTATTTATAAAGATTATTATCTTATTAATTTATCAATTTTATATTATATTTTGAATTGATCTAATTTAAAACTGAAAATTTTATTAATTTATAAAGTTTTTATTCAAAAATATAATAAATTTGAGAAATGGTAAAAAACAACCCTCCCTCTCGAATTGGATTCTGAGAACAAAAAAAAATGAATATTTCTGCGATCTTGTTGAGTTGTTTCTGTCAGAGAATCTTATTTTCTGATATATTCATAAACATCAAAATGTTACATATTTGTCTCTTATTTTCTGACATATTCATAAACATCAAAATGTTACATATTTGTCGTTGGGTTTTCTTAATTTTCCTCCCAACCTTCACTCTATGATTACCAAAAATAGTAGAAAATCCAAATTTTTGTGAAGTAAAAACCCGGTTAAGGATCAAATGTGTACCGGTTCTTAACATTACACATAACCACAACCCCATTACAAGTACAACAAAACAAGTATGTTGTCGAGTCACTTACATAAAAGCTTTTCTTGATAGTCTTGCTTTTACAACATCAACTGAAAAATCTTCTAACACGAGAGTGTGTGTCCATTGTCTCTTTATTTGAAACGCCATCGATTACTGGAATGGAACTCGAAGCACATGAAAGAGTAGAGCAAACTCCTTGCGCAGCAAACGAATTCACTCCACGCTTTAACACCAACTACACTGTTTTTTTTTTGCTTCAGTCATGACTCATAGTTTGGGTCTCGCTTTGGTATGTTAATGTTTGGTTATTGTCTTGCTGAGACTTCTTTTTTTGTGTGTTATCGATAGTTTTGGATTTGATATGTCACGAGTTTTTGAATATAGAAGAAGATTGTCAAAAAAATCTTCGTCCTTTTGCTTCAGTCATAAGCAAAAGGGGTGACCTATGTTCCAACGCATAGAGTATCCTCTTCTTCTTAGTTCTTATAATGTTTAGGTTTAGCTTTTTAGACATATTGTTAGCACATTGATTGATCTTTGAATGAATCACGAAAAGTCTAGGTATTTGATAGCTTTGGGTTTGTTTTGGTATGTTAATGTCTGGATTTTATACTATTGTCATGAGTGTTTCCTTATTGATTCATTTGTGTGCAAAACTGGTCACTTATATTGACTAATACTGTATATATAATACATATCAACCTTCATTTTATGATATTACTCCAATTTGAGAAGATTTTCAGCAAGCTCGAGTTCACAATGTTTTTCCAATTTGAGGAGATTTTCAGCAAACTTAAGTTCATGATATTTTGCTTCAAATTGGAGAGATTCAACTAGCTCGAGATAACAATGGTGTGGAAACCAAATAACTCTATGTTCCATTCCAATGACATTAAGCTTTCTTTAACAGCTCTTGGATAACATCACATGAAACAAATAAGTCATAGCTATAACAAATTGGCCTAGCTGAAGTAGACCATGTGACATAGCGAAAGCTGAGCTAGCTGAAATACACCTGAAATTGGAGAAACAGAAACTCAAGTTTGGTGAAAATCTTCCCAAATTGATAGAAGATTTCTTTAAATAAAAGATAAATCAGAGAAATATTACTTGATATATAAAGAAAGAAAATACCAGTTTAGAGATTTTGTCATTACAATGTAATTTAAAGGTATGATGGACGATCACAAAATATAAAAAGAAACTACAACAATATGATTAAGCCAAAGTAAATACTGGTTTAGAGATTTTATGGTTACTATGTAATGGAGAAAGCCAAAAAGAGCAAATTTACCTATTAAAAACACTATTTTTTCTTAGCAACCCGATGCATTATGCTTCATGAACCAAACTAGTATATTTTCTTTTTTTTGGTATGAATTTTAACAAACTATTGTCTTTACTAAAACAGAACCCATGCACTTTTTCTGTGTAAAAAATAAAATTAGAGAATTAAGATAAACCACGTTTAATACATTCAATTTAACTATAATAGTATTGATACAAAAAAGAAGTTTATGGTTTTAATATCTAATTCATATTTTCCAATAAAGTTAGTTTATTTATTGTGGCATGAATTTTCCCTTTTTATGCTCTCCTTTTCAGAATTTTTAGTATATTGGTGACAATTCATTGTGTTGTATTCTATGTCTATCATTCCCATCGACTGATCTTGTTAACAAGTCACATTTTGAGTATATTTTTTTTCTCAATATTTTCAAGTAAGTTGTCGAATAGTTAGTGATATTTATTTTTACAATCATGCTCTTTTTCTCGGAGTAAAAACAATCTAAACACAACCAAATAAGCTGTTCTCCAGGAGCTGGTGAGGATGGAGTTGGTGAGGATTGTAAAGAGGCATGGTGATTATGTCAGTCTTACAGCTGATACACTTACTTGATGTCTCTATTATCAGAATGTCCAACAACAAGAAGATACAACACACTGAGTAGTCTCCTTTCTCAGATCTCCAGAGTCTTTGATCAAACCTTCCAAGCATCCATGATGCTCTAATTTGGGTTCAGTGCTATAGATTCACAAGATCGTTGTGTTATTGACTTTGTTGTTGTGACCATTTGACACTGGGTTATGTGTTGTGTTATTGACTTTGTTGTTGTGACCACTTGGCACTCGGTTAAGCAAACCATTTTCCTTAGAGCTAAACCCCATTAAAATCCGTTTGAGTCACTTGCACAAAAGCTAAGTTTATACAAATTACAACAAGCTTCTCATAATATCCGTCAAATCCCTTTTTTAGTCTCAAGTCACTAGTAGCAGACATCCGCATGCATCAGAAGCATGCTTGCCTTAAATATATACGAAGATTGTCAAAAAATCTATGAGTTTTCTTTTCCTAACAACCGTTTTCACTAGTAGTTGGAAAATACATTTCAACTATCTTTGCACTTGGTAGATTTGGAGGTACCTGTATCTGTTCTATAACAAACGATTTTTTGCAATTTGTTAACTGATTTACTCTTTGGCTATAGAGCTTGTTGCTGCTATGGTTAATTGTGGACTGTGACCACTTGACACTCACTTAACCAAACCATTTCCCTTGAAGGGAAACCTGGTTAAAACTCATATGTGAACCGCGGTTATTTACAACATTATACATAACCAAACCATTGCAAGAAATCTGTTTTGAGTCACTTGCACAAAACCTAAGTTTATACCATTGACAGAGAGTCTTACTTACTTTCACAGCATCAACTGCATAGATCGCCTATTTACATTTGTAACGATAGTGCAGAATCAGATCCGTTTTTAGTCTCGACTCGCGAGTAGCAGAGATCCGCATGCATCAGAAGCATGCTTGCCTTCTCCAAAAACCAGATTTCCTCTCACAAAAGTTGAAACCACTTTGCCTGATAATCTTCTTCCCAAAAAAGCTGAGATACTCTATTGTCACCACAAAAGAGCAAACATCACAATAAAGATTAGACATTCGAGTTAAGCCATATAAAAGCTCTAATTGGAATATTTCCTGGTTAAGACTTTTGTACACATACAGGGTGTTTGAAGTGAATAGGATGTTCTTCATCGAGATCAAACTCGACTTCAGGTTCCCACACAACAATATCAGCATGTTTCCCAACCACAATCGCTCCCTGTAGTTCAAGAACAACCATTTTGCTCAACAGATACTTCAAATGCTGTGTGACTAATAGAGAATATTGAAGCTGTGTTTCATTAGTATCACGCACCTTAGAGTGTAGTCCAGCGAGTTTTGAAGGCCTATCGCTCCACCAAGAAGCTATCTGCTCGAGAGTCACTCCATACTTTTTCCCATATGACCATGTTACTGGAAGAACAAACTGCACTTGGCTCCCAAGACAAAAATTCCATGAGTGTTTTTCTCGGGTCTTGTCACAGTTTTTACATATTTCGTCCTTCATCATTGCAAAGAATATCGATACGTACCACATAGAGACTGTTAAAGACTTGTAACGAACCTGTAAAGACGATACCCCACCCCATGCTTTCAAGAAGTTACCATCACTCAAGAGTTTGAGTTCAGGCTTTGTAGGTGAATGATCAGAGCTCAGCATATCAATGTCTCCTTCCTAAACCAAAATCGAACAAAGTTCAGAAATCAAGGGCTTGAGCAAGCGTGAGGCGTAATGAATGACTGAGGAGGATTGCAAAACCAAAAACTATACCATCATAGCTTCCCACAACTTTTCTCTATTGGCTGCATCGCGTATGGGTGGAGAGCATTTGAAACGTGTATCGCCTTCTGGAATCTCTTCGGCTGAGAAAGCTAGGTAATGCGGACATGTCTCAACGGTAACACTGTCTCCTTTGCCTTTCGCTTCCTTTATCAAATCCAAGGAAGAAGTGGCATCAGACAAATGCACAATATGAACATGTGCTCCTTCTGCAGAAGCACCAATCCTTGTGTCTTCAGTAACCGATAATAGGTTTCTTATCGCTCCCTCCTCCCTAATTGCTCGAATAAAGATTCATTTCAGGTATAACAACCATTTTGTAAGAACTTATATTAGAGCGAAATAGTGCAGAGCCTCACCATGAAGTTGGCCTGGTTTTTAAATAAGTGAGGTAAGAACGAGGATCATTGTCGCTGCTATCTTCAATCTCTGAATCTATTTCGACCTCTGCGTGTACAAGCAATGGTCGTCTGTATTTAGCTAACACAGATAGCCCTTCCTGCAGAAACAAACGATACGGACAAGACAAGAGCCGATCAGCGATACTGTAATAAATTCCCGAATATCATGAGAAGAGAGGATCATCATCGACTCAAGAAACAATAACCTTTATGTGAGTGATGTTCGTCATCGGAAAATCATTGATCCCTGAAGGACACATAAAGGACTGAATAAAGATTGAGAGAAACCATGTTAGACAGTTTAAAGACTCTTAAAAACCGGTGTAACAGAAGAAGAAGCACATGATATCTATCTACCTTGAGACCAAGAACTCCAGCATCTAAGAGAGACGTAAGAGCACTTGAATTGAGTGCATTATCAGGCACCAGACCTCCCCAGAAACCTGGAGAAACACCAAAAAAAAAATGAGATTTAAGGAAGCTCGTTTTTTTCACTGTAAATCAACAAATGTGGTAAGGACTGATATAGCTAAGAATGTTTACCAACATCAACATGTATTCTCTTTTCCGCAGCTTCAATCTGCAAAAAGCACAGACATTCCTCGATTTCAGACAAAACAACGAAACTGTGTGCCTTTTTTACCAGGGAAACTAAAAGAGGCTTGCTTACCTTGAGTTTCAAAGTTTCAGGAGATACAGTTGAAGGGCAACTGTTTAAAGGCATGTCAACCAATGTAGTGATACCCCCTGCCGGAAAAAACACAACATCAGGAAGAGAAAAGAGACAAAACAGAACATTCTTGCAACTAGAACAGCCTCAGTGACTCAGTAAGAGAAACAGATTTGATTACCAGCAGCAGCAGCCTTTGTTCCAGAAGGAAAACCTTCCCACTCACTTCTTCCAGGATCATCAAGATGAGCATGCCTTTACAAAACAAAAGGTGAAGTAAAGCTTCAAGATTTAAGGATAAGGGCAGAGAAAGAAACTAAGACAGAATCGAATCATTATTGATGGTTTTAAGATTCACTAACACATCAACGAGACCAGGCATGAGGACAGCTTCTCCAAAGTCAATCACTTTCACTCGGCTCCTCTGCTTCTTATCCCAATCTGCTTCCTTCACCACCGACACGATAATGCCTCCGTCCACTTCCACTGCGTCCGTGAACGATATATAAAGTCAAAAGTATGGTTTTTAAGATCATAATCATGTGTGCAAGATTAATTAACATGAATGATTTCGATTTGTTCAAGCAACATACCAGAACCAGAGATGAGACCATCTGGTGTGACGATGCGTTTACTTGAGAGCCAATAGTGATCATGGGGAAGAAGACTGCACTTGTTCCCTTGCGTCGCCTGTAGACAAACAAACATCGGAATCAGTGAACAAAGTAGGTAGAAAGAGAGAGAGGGAGAGTAAAAGAGACAAAGCCGCCATTTTCGCCGGCGATCAACCAAATCGGATTACAGAGATGGGAAACGAAACAAAAAAGTAGACCTGGAAAGAGCGAGAAGCGAAGAAGACGAAGAGAAAAGAAGCGATTAGAGCGAGAAGAGGCAATAATCTCCATAGAAGCAGCGACCTCTCCATCTCTCTTTCTCTCTCTGTGATGAAGAAGAAGAACTGGCTCTTACTGGTTATAACGTTGGATTGTACTTAAAAGTTAAAAACCCACAAAACCCAAAAGATTCCCTCAAGATGCATTATCGGACAATCTGGGACTCTTTAAGGACCGTTGGATTATGGAAACGGTTCTGAAGATGGACGGTTGTGAAAAGATATTTGAGCAAGTTGAAGATTCCGTCATGGGCTCACTTGCGCATTCAAGTTGGATCCCACTCTGAGTCCAAACTATTGCATTCAGCTTATTATTTATGAGGTTTATTTATTTAAGAAGATCACAAATTTGCGAAAAAAAGTCTATTGTTCTGTTTGTAAAAGTAGAGCTTTATGATTTATCCAAAGGAGGCCGTGTGTTCAAACCCTCGTTTTAAGAATTATGTGTGCTGGTCAAAATGAAAGCTGGTTTAAGTTTGACTTTTCATTCATTAATTTGTCTCTAATCTCTAACATTGCAGAGGTTTATGAATTATGAACGACTAAACCAAAAGCAACGCGAAAACAAAACACACAACAAAATGTTATTTAAACAGCATCCTTAAAAACATGAAAGAAATAAAAAAATATGAAATTTTATAATATGAATGAAATAAATAAAAAATATGAAAGAACTTTTTTCATACAGTTAGATGTAAATCTGTTGGTATTGATTTTTTTTTTTTTTTTGGCTAAATTAATGGAGTTGTCGGTGTATTTGGGTAATTGCAATGATCTCGCTGGTCAAAACAATTATTTTCTATTCATATCAGTCATCACCAAACACAAATCATCATCATATTAATATTATCTATAAAAATGTTTTATACTTCATCTTTTTCTTTTAAGCACGTCATCAAAACAAAATATTTCGTACAGCTGTATCTAGAAATTCGATTGGTGGATGTATATCTTTTAATTCTGTCCGAATTGGTAGATATATCTATAAGTATCATTATTCCAAGTAATTTAATCAAAATACGATATCAATAATTTCGTCTTTTACGGCAAAAACACGTTGACCAAGAACATTCTCGCTGCGATTAAACGCCGTTTTTTTCACTTTATTTTGTTTTTAATACACAGAAGGGGATTTTCTTTTTTGTTTGTAAATTGTAAATTAGTATACATAAAGGTGTGTTCTTTTTCATATGAAAAAAAGAAGAATATTTTACAATAACATAGTAACTTCAAGCTTTCAATTAATAAACATAAAATCCACTTCATAAACTTCAATACTGTTCGTATCTTGTCTATTGTACAAACGTAACCAAACCATATAATCGTTTTTTATCTTTCTCAAAGAGAAAATTTGCAAAAGTCTTTGTCAAAAAAATGAAATTTGCAAAAGTCTTCGCTTTGTAGTATTAAATTACTAATTATAAAAATGAGACCAAAGAGTACAATTGTACAAACTACAAGGTACAAAAAGTCACAAACTTTGACGAAACAAAACAGCAAAATGAAGAATAGAAAAATCAAAACTTTCATGTAAGCTTTCATCTTTCCCTTTCAACAACTGTCTCCAATATTTGCTCAAAGCTCTTTTATCAATCCCCAAATTATGACAGTTAACCTCACGCGTAGCTAGCTTCTTCCTCCTCCGCCATGAAAGCTCCTCTCTTTCTTCTTACCCTTTTCCTCACCCCTCTTCTAAACCCAATCTCAGCCGTCGATTTCGTCTTCAACGGCTTCGATGACTCTCCCTCCTCCTCCTCGCGTCTTTCTCTCTTCGGGTACGCAACAATCGAATCCAAAATCCTTTCCTTGACCAACCAAACATCTCAATCGATTGGTAGAGCTTTATACAGCAAACCCATCCCTGCGAAAGATCGATTAACTTCCTCTGTTCTACCTTTCTCCACTTCCTTCATCTTCACCATGGCTCCTTACAAAAACACGCTTCCTGGGCACGGAATCGTCTTCCTCTTCGCTCCTTCCACTGGAATCAACGGCACTAGCGCCGCTCAGCACCTGGGTCTCTTCAATCTCACCAACAATGGCGACCCAACCAATCACGTCTTCGGAGTTGAGTTCGACGTCTTCGCTAATCAAGAGTTCAACGACACCGACGCCAATCATGTCGGAATCGATGTCAATTCGCTTAACTCAGTCGATTCAGACACATCTGGGTTCTGGTCGGACGATGGGAATCGAGTGTTTAAGCCATTGAAGCTCAACGATGGAAGAAACTATCAGGTTTGGGTTGATTACAGAGACTCCACAGTCAATGTTACTATACAGGTCGCTGGTAAGATTCGGCCCAAGATTCCTTTGCTAAGCAAGTCTCTGAATCTCGCTGGAGTTATGGAGGATGAGATGTTCGTTGGATTCACAGCAGCTACAGGGAGATTGGTTCAGAGCCACAAGATCTTAGCTTGGAGTTTCAGTAACTCGAATTTCTCCCTGAGTGATAGTTTGATCACAACGGGTCTGCCTTCGTTTGTTCTACCAAAGGAATCGATCCTTGAAAAGAAATGGTTCGTTTTTGTTCTGGCATTGATCTGTTTCTTGGTCGTTTCTTTGGTGGGTTTGGTTTCGTTTGCTGTGGTGAGGAAGAGGATAGAGAGAGCGAGGAAGAGAGCGTTGATGGAGGATTGGGAAATGGAGTATTGGCCTCACCGGATTTCGTACGAGGAGATTGAATCAGGGACTAAAGGATTCGACGAGAAGAATGTGATTGGGATCGGTGGGAATGGGAAAGTGTATAGAGGTTTGTTACAAGGAGGAGCTGTGGAAGTTGCGGTGAAGCGGATCTCTCAGGAGAGCAGCGACGGTATGAGGGAGTTTGTAGCTGAGATCTCGAGTCTCGGGAGGTTAAAGCATCGGAACTTGGTTTCTTTACGAGGTTGGTGCAAGAAGGAAGTTGGTAGTTTCATGTTGGTCTATGATTACATGGAGAACGGAAGTTTAGACCGGTGGATTTTCGAGAACGACGACGATGAGAGGAAACACACGCTTAGCTGCGAAGAGAGGATACAGATCTTGAGAGGCGTGGCTTCAGGGATATTGTATTTGCATGAAGGATGGGAGTCTAAGGTTTTACATAGAGATATCAAAGCGAGCAACGTGTTGCTTGACAGTGATATGATCCCTAGGCTGAGTGATTTCGGGCTAGCTCGGGTTCATGGACACGAGCAAGCGGTTAGGACCACGAGGGTTGTTGGTACGGCCGGTTATTTGGCTCCTGAAGTGGTTAAGACGGGACGTGCATCGACGCAAACAGATGTGTTTGCTTATGGGATACTAGTTCTTGAAGTGATGTGTGGGAGGAGACCTATTGAAGAAGGGAAGAAACCGTTGATGGATTGGGTCTGGGGGTTAATGGAGAAAGGCGAGATTTTGAACGGACTCGATCCTAAGATGGTGATGTCACAAGCTGTTGTTGAGGCTGAGAGGGTTTTGCAGCTTGGTTTGCTCTGCGCACATCCTGATCCGGGGAAGAGACCGTCGATGAGACAAGTGGTTCAAGTGTTTGAAGGTGAGAAAGGTGAGGTCTTTGAAGTGGATAGTAGCGAAGACGTCGAGTCTTGGATGCTGAAGAAGATGGGATCTCGAGGAAGCTCACGAGAGTTTTGGTATGGGAGCTCGTCGCATCCGACGATAGAGCAGGTCAGGGTTCACTCTTTGTCTGTGTCTCTTTCGTCTTGGAATAGCTCTATTTTAGAAGGTAGGTGATTGCGTGTGAATCAAGAATGTAGTTTTTTTTTTTGTGGCTTTACTTTGTTTCTTGCTGTGTACATAATACGGTTTTGTAAACGCATTGTTTTTTTTTTTTTAATTTCTTTTTGGAATTGGTTTCAGTTTATTTATATTGTAAAATCTATATAATAATAAAAACGTCAGTTTTGATGTGAATATCTCTAACAGATTATTGTTATGTAAAATCTCAACCAATATTTTGCAGATATAATTTAAGAACATACGGTTGCAAATCCTCATTAGGGTAAAGAGACAATGGGGCATGTGGAGAAGCTTCCATGTGAGTTGATTGAAGAGATACTCTTTCGTGTCCTTCCTGAGTCTCTTGTTCGTTTCAGAACCGTATCGAAACAATGGAACGCTCTCTTCGACGACAAGACGTTCGTCAACAACCACAAGTCGACGTTTCGGTTCATCTTGACGACCAACTCCAAGATTTATTCGGTTAGCATCGATCCCAAGATAGTGGTACGCGAGTTAACCTTGGAAATTCCCGGTTTAGGATCTCAAATACCTAACCGCTTGTTTGATTGCGGTGAGTTCTTGGTATGTGGCATGGACAAAGGAGCCGTGGTTTGGAACCCGTGGTTGAATCAGCCTAGATGGATCAAGCCAGAGGTTAGCCAACCTAAACCTCAATTAGATGGCAGAGATTATGATAGTAACAATAGGTACAAGAGCCTTTGGTATATGTGGGACGTGTTAGACCCTCTCGCGTGGAAAAATCCATGACTCTGCCTCTGGTGCTTGGAAAGACCTCTTCAAGTCGAAAGGTGGTCTAAGCCAGGGAACAAAACGTCGTATGCAACATTCCAAAAGTGGTGTATCTTTGAATGGAAATCTGTATTGGGTTGCTTATTATTACGACACTGATGATCCTTTGTACCACATAACTTACTTCGATTTTTCTAGGGAAGTATTCTTGGAATTTTGCAATGTACCTTGTAGGACGAACCATCGTCGAGGTGCTCTTGTCCTTAGGGTCTTTAAGAGAGATCGGTTTTCGCTGTTAAAGCAATGCTACGAAACGAATAAGATTGAGATTTGGGTGACCAGGAACAAGATGAGCGTTGAGGATCTTGATGATACAGTTTGGATGAACTATATGGCCGTGTCAATTCCTAGCTTTCCAAGTATAGTTCAGACCAAGTCCTGCTCTCACCCAAGTTACTACATTGACGAGAAAAGGCTTGTCTTTTGTTCTTGCGATGAAACTGGCCATGCTTGGATCTATGTTGTGGGAGAGAATGAGTTGATCAGCAAAGTCCAACTAGATCATGTGGTCGATCCTCGGTCTTTGCACTGCACTTATTTTCCCAGTTTGGTCCCGGTTCCTCAAGGTGAAGAAGCACAACTACAAATTTAATTTTATCGTTTGATTCTTGTTTGGTTGTTAATGAATGCTAAACTTTATTTGGGTTCTTTTATTCTCAAACCATGTTCTTTTATATAAGCTCTTATATAAATTTCGTTAGTGTCACGAGGCCCATGTAAACAATAGTATATAAGTTAAAATGCACATGTATGCCAGATAGGTAAAAGAAAAGCTATATATCTTTGGGAAGAGAGCAAAGTTCTTGAATCTTACAATGTTTGAAAGATTGTAGTACTATACCAAAAAAAAATGACAAATTAAAGCGACAAAAAGATTCGATGTTTGCGTATATGCCGAAAAGTTCTCTTTTTTTGGGGGGTCAAAATCCAACTAATGACGTGATTCTTATTTGTTTTTATCAAACGCTTTTTTATTATTATTCGACTGTCATATTCGAAATGTCATGGCGCCGTGAGTTTAGCAAAAGATTAAAAATATACCAACGCGAAAGTGCCATCACTATCACTAATTACGCCATTTTCTAATTCTTTTATCTTCATCAAAGCGTTGCCGTTTTGAAACCCAGGAGCATACGATAACGGATATAATGCTGTTTTTGTCTTGTTTCTTTATAGATCTCAGTGATTTGTCTCGAGTTTCTGACACGCGCGTAGCCGCACGTGTCTTACCACTACACTAACCCTACACGTCTCCGTTTCGTGGACGCTCCCTTTACCTCCTTCTTCACCGTCCGATTACATCCTTGACAAAAGCCTTAAAGCGATCGAACGATCACTAATTCAAGGAACATGTAATTATTTGTACGACGCGACACACATCGTTATCTCTTTTATTAGTATTATCTCTATCCACAGTGCCGTTTCGTCAGTGTCTTTGAAACTGAAAGAAACGAAAAAGAAAAAAAGACGAAATTATTTTGAAAAGATTCTAAGTAAAGAAACCGTTAGCCGGCGATTAGCTCGACACAACCGGCCATCGATGGCCACCGCGCGTGACCGTGACCAGCTTCGTCCGCCGTTGCAGGAGGTATACAACATCATCCCGATCCACGATGTCTTAAGGGAACACCCTTCGCTGCATTACCCGGAGGTTCGAGCCGCCGCGGCGGCGCTTAAAGTAGTCGGAGACCTTCCGAAACCTCCGTTCGTCGATTTCACACCTCGCATGGACTTGATGGACTGGCTAGGTCATCTCTTCGGTTTCCAATTAGATAACGTTCGGAATCAGAGAGAGAATCTCGTCCTTCACTTAGCTAACTCCCAAATGCGGCTCCAACCGCCGCCACGTCATCCCGACGGCCTCGATCCCACCGTTCTCCGTCGTTTCCGGAAGAAGCTGCTCCGTAACTATACCAATTGGTGCTCCTTCCTCGGAGTGAGGTGCCACGTCACCAGCCCAGTCCACAGCCGTCATCAGACCAACGTCGTTTTGAATCTCCGTCGAGAGCTTCTCTATGTGGCTCTGTACCTCTTGATTTGGGGAGAATCCGCGAATCTCCGGTTTATGCCGGAGTGTATCTGCTACATATTCCATCACATGGCCATGGAGCTCAACAAAGTTCTCGGCGGAGAGTTTGATGATATGACCGGAATGCCTTACTGGCCTTACTTCTCCGGTGATTGCGCCTTCCTAAAGAGTGTGGTAATGCCGATTTACAAGACGGTTAAGACGGAGGTTGAGAGTAGCAACAATGGGACGAAGCCACACTCGGCTTGGAGAAACTACGACGACATTAACGAGTATTTCTGGAGCAAGAGAGCCTTCAAGAGTCTTAAATGGCCTCTTGACTCCACCAGTAACTTCTTCGGCACCACGCCCAAAAGCAGCAGAGTAGGGAAGACGGGATTTGTGGAGCAGAGATCGTTTTGGAATGTCTTTAGAAGCTTTGATCGGTTATGGATTCTATTGCTTCTCTTCTTGCAAGCAGCTATTATCGTCGCTACTAGTGATGTTAAGTTTCCGTGGAAAGACCAGGATGTGGAGGTCTAAAAAGCTTTTTCCCATTGATTTGATCTAAAAGTGTGCGTTTTTTTAGTTGTGTTGTGTTGGTATACAAAGACGTGTTTGATCTGTTCTTCTACTTGCAGGTTGCATTGTTGACCGTTTTCATCTCGTGGGCGGGATTGAGGTTGCTCCAGTCTGTGCTTGACGCTAGTACTCAGTATAGTTTGGTGAGCAGAGAAACGTTCTGGCAGTTCGTCAGACTGATTTTGAAGTTCGTGGTGGCTGTGACATGGACGGTTTTGTTTTCGGTCTTCTACGCTAGGATTTGGAGCCAGAAGAATGCGGATCGTCGTTGGTCTCGAGCTGCAAACGATAGGATTGTCGTGTTTCTCAAGGTAGTTTTCGTGTATCTTATCCCCGAGATGCTGGCTCTTGTGCTGTTTATTGTTCCCTGGATAAGGAACTGGATCGAGGAGCTGAACCTTGGGCTTGTGTACTTTCTTACCTGGTGGTTCTATAGCAAGACTTTTGTTGGTCGTGGGATGAGGGAAGGCCTTGTGGACAATGTTAAGTATTCGATCTTTTGGGTTATTGTACTGGCCACGAAATTCATTTTCAGCTACTTTTTACAAATCAGACCTCTAATTGCTCCGACCAGGGCACTCCTGAAACTAGAAAATGGGGCGTACAAATGGCACGAGTTTTTCGGCAGCACACAGAGAATAGCGGTGGTGATGCTCTGGCTCCCTGTTATTTTGGTTTACCTAATGGATTTGCAGATTTGGTACTCGATCTATTCATCCTTTGTAGGTGCAACAATCGGTCTGTTTTCCCACTTGGGGGAGATCCGGAACATTGATCAGTTGAGACTTCGGTTTCAGTTCTTTTCAAGTGCAATGCAGTTTAACCTTAAACCTGAAGAGCATCTCCTCGGCCCTAAAGCTACACTTCTTAAGAAGGCTCGTGATGCTATTCACCGGCTGAAGCTGCGGTACGGAATTGGTCAGCCTTTCAACAAGATTGAATCTAGTCAAGTTGAAGCGACTTGGTTTGCCTTGTTATGGAATGAGATCATCCTCACATTTAGAGAGGAAGACCTTATCAGTGACAGGGAGGTTGAGCTGCTTGAGTTGCCACCTAACTGTTGGAATATCCGGGTTATTCGCTGGCCCTGTTTCCTCCTCTGCAATGAGCTCCTACTTGCACTAAGCCAGGCAAATGAGCTCTGTGATGCTCCTGATCGCTGGCTTTGGTCGAAAATCTGCACCAGTGAGTACAGGCGTTGTGCTGTTATGGAAGCTTTCGATAGCATCAAATTCGTGGTTCTGAAAATTGTCAAAAACGGCACGGAGGAAGAGTCCATACTGAACAGGTTGTTCTCGGAAATTGACGAAAACATGGAAAACGGAAAGGTAACTGATGTATACAAGCTGTCAGTACTACTCCGGATTCACGAGAAGCTAATAACACTTCTTGAGCGTCTGATGGACCCAGAAAAGAAAATATTCAGGATTGTGAATACACTGCAAGCTCTGTATGAGCTCTGCGCATGGGAATTTCCAAGAAATAGGAGGACCACTCAGCAGTTGAGGCAGCTTGGCTTGGCCCCCGTTAGTTTGGATGCAGATACCGAATTGCTGTTTGTCAATGCCATTGATCTCCCTCCTATCAGTGATGTTGTCTTCTATAGGCAGATAAGGCGGGTCCATACAATTCTTACTTCTAGAGATCCAATGCATAATGTGCCTAAGAATCTTGAGGCCAGAGAGCGTCTTGCCTTCTTTAGCAACTCTCTCTTTATGAGCATGCCCCAGGCTCCCAGTGTAGAAAAGATGATGGCTTTCAGTGTGTTGACTCCTTACTATGACGAGGAAGTGATGTACCGACAAGAAATGCTCCGAGCTGAGAATGAGGATGGAATTTCCACCCTTTTCTACCTTCAAAGAATATATGAAGATGAATGGGTGAATTTTGTGGAGCGGATGCGTAGAGAGGGAGTGGAGAATGAGAATGAGATCTGGTCAAAGAAGGTTAGGGATCTTCGCCTCTGGGCTTCATATAGGGGACAGACGTTGTCCAGAACAGTTCGGGGTATGATGTATTATTATAGTGCCTTGAAGAAGCTTGCCTTTCTTGATTCTGCTTCTGAAATGGACATCAGGATGGGAACTCAGATTGCTCCTGAGCCACGCCGTTCGTACTACACAAGTGATGGTGGGGATAACACACTGCAACCAACACCTTCTCAGGAGATTAGCAGAATGGCTAGTGGTATAACCCATTTGCTTAAAGGGTCTGAGTATGGGAGTGCTATGATGAAATTCACATATGTTGTGGCATGCCAAGTTTATGGACAGCATAGAGCAAAAGGAGACCACAGGGCTGAGGAGATTCTGTTCCTGATGAAAACTCATGAGGCCCTTCGTGTTGCGTATGTTGATGAGGTTAACTTGGGAATAAATGGGGTCGAGTTCTACTCAGTTCTTGTGAAATTCGATCAACAACTTCAGAGAGAGGTGGAGATCTATCGAATCAGACTGCCAGGCCCTTTGAAGCTTGGCGAGGGAAAACCAGAAAACCAAAACCATGCTATAATATTTACACGAGGTGATGCGATTCAGACCATTGATATGAATCAAGATAACCATTTCGAGGAGGCACTTAAAATGAGGAATCTGTTGGAATCTTTCAAGAATCACTATGGCATTAGGAAGCCTACTATTCTTGGAGTCCGTGAGAAAGTTTTCACTGGTTCGGTGTCTTCACTCGCATGGTTCATGTCTGCTCAGGAAACGAGTTTTGTAACCCTAGGACAGCGTGTGCTTGCCAACCCGCTGAAAGTGAGGATGCATTATGGTCATCCTGATGTATTTGATCGGTTTTGGTTCGTCCCTCGAGGTGGAATCAGCAAGGCCTCTAGAGTGATTAATATCAGTGAGGATATATTTGCTGGTTTCAATTGCACTTTAAGAGGTGGGAACGTGACTCATCATGAATACATTCAGGTAGGCAAGGGAAGGGATGTGGGTTTGAATCAGATATCTATGTTTGAAGCAAAAGTAGCCAGTGGTAATGGCGAGCAAGCATTAAGCAGAGACGTTTACAGGTTGGGTCACAGGCTGGATTTTTTCAGAATGCTCTCTTTCTTCTACACAACAGTTGGCTACTACTTCAACACGATGTTGATAGTATTCACTGTTTATGCATTCCTGTGGGGTCGGCTTTATCTAGCGCTTAGTGGTGTTGAGAAAATAGCAAAGGATAGGAGTAGCAGCAATGAAGCTCTTGGTGCAATCTTGAATCAGCAATTTGTTATTCAGCTAGGGCTTTTCACTGCACTTCCAATGATTCTTGAAAACTCGCTGGAGCGTGGGTTTCTTCCAGCAGTTTGGGACTTCATAACAATGCAGCTACAACTAGCATCTTTTTTCTACACGTTTTCCTTGGGGACTCGAAGCCATTACTTTGGCCGGACTATACTCCATGGTGGAGCCAAGTACCGTGCCACTGGAAGAGGTTTCGTGGTTGAGCATAAGAAATTTGATGAGAACTACAGACTGTATGCTCGAACTCATTTCATCAAGGCCATTGAGCTCGCTATTATCTTGTTGGTATATGCGGCTTATAGCCCGTTGGCTAAGAGCTCGTTGGTTTACATACTGATGACGATTTCGAGCTGGTTCCTTATCACATCTTGGATTATTTCTCCGTTTCTGTTTAACCCATCTGGTTTCGATTGGCTCAAAACAGTGAATGATTTCGACGATTTCATGAACTGGCTATGGTCCAGAGGCGGGTTGTTCACGAAAGCAGACCAGAGTTGGTTTACGTGGTGGAACGAGGAACAAGAGCATCTGAGAACAACCGGAGTGTGGGGAAAACTGCTTGAGATTATACTTGATCTCCGCTTCTTCTTTTTCCAGTATAGCATTGTGTACCATCTTCGCATTGCGGAAGATCGGACCAGCATTGGTGTATACTTGGTTTCTTGGGGATGCATTATTGGCATTGCTGCGATTTACATCACAACAATCTACGCACAGAAAAGATATTCAGTGAAGGAGCATATTAAATACAGATTCATTCAGTTCTTAGTGATATCGCTCACGGTTCTTGTGGTGGTGCTGATGCTGCAGTTCACTAAACTTACAGTAGTTGATTTGTTGATAAGTCTCATGGCTTTTATCCCTACAGGCTGGGGTTTGATTTCCATAGCTCAAGTACTGAGACCGTTTCTGATATCGACAGTGGTTTGGGACACAGTGATCTCTGTTGCCCGCCTTTACGACCTGTGCTTTGGGTTGATAGTTTTGGCTCCAGTTGCACTGCTTTCGTGGTTGCCTGGTTTTCAGAATATGCAAACTCGGATTTTGTTCAATGAAGCTTTTAGCAGAGGCTTGCAGATTTCTATCATTCTTGCTGGCAAAAAATCCACTTGAAGCAAATATTTGGGGTAATGAATCAAATCTTATTATATGTTACTGATTACTCTTAAAGACATCAATTTATAAGATTGATTTCATCCTATTTGCAGGGTTCTGAGATTGTATTTTGAAGTTGATTTTTGTTGACCTTGGTTGTTGTGTGTTTGTAAACGTAGGTATGAATCTATATCGTCATTAGCTTTGGAGATTGTAGATACGTTACTGATTATTTCTTAAGACCATACAATTAATAGATGGTTATGTCGTATTGCTGCAGGTTTCTTGATTTGATGTGAGATTACCATATTTGGGGAGCTTGAAAAAAATGACGGTATGCTTCCACACTGTACCATTTTTGTTGGTCTTTGTACAGATTGACTCATGCGTTGGTTAAGTTTCAAGTTCACATTAACAAGAGCTCTTGCTTTTGCTTCTTATGCACATATTTTTTTGCTTGTGTAAACCTTTTCTTTCTTCTTTCTCTTAAAGATTCTCAAGCAGTTTTGTCATGAATTAAAAAATGGGTTAAACTTCATAACTCAATAAAAATGAACCCAATTGAGCAAAAATGGATCTTTTACCGTCTTCTCTTTTATCTCTGTAATTGAAGATGGTAAAGCTAAGAAATAGACAACTCTTTAAATTTACGGTTTTACAAACTAAAATCAATTGCATAGTATTCAATAGAGATAGATATTCAACTAGCTATTTAAACAAATGTCACCAGTATTTCGTTATTGGTAACTAAAGTCTCAGTAGCCTTTTGTTTTTTTTTTTCTTTGATTGTTTTTATAAAGCAGTACAACGTTAAGGGATCTGTTCATCAAAAAAATGTCAAACGACAACATCTTTATGTCTTTCTATGAACACTCGAGCTCTTCTCTCATGGAAGTAAATCAAGAAGAGATCCCAGCGACGCAAAATCTTTTTCGATCCGAAGAATATGAAGAAGAAACTTCTTTAGGAAAGAGAAAGATAAGTAAGTTGTTCTGTCACAACAAAAAAAACGCATCATAAATTCAAGTAACGAGATTTGATGTTGACAGGTTTGGTTGTGGAGACCGAAGATGAAAGGGAAGTGAAGAGAAAAGCTTTCTTCTCTCCAGAAACTCTAGAAGAAGAAGACATTGATATGATCGAGGAAGATCTAGGAAGAGATGATCATAGAGATAATAACGAGATGATCATGGAAGAGAAGGTTCTTGAAGAAGAGTATGTGGTTGACTTTGATGGATTCTTTTGAAACTTATCTTCTCTTGCCATCTGCGTTGACCTTTTTCTTTAGATCTTTGCTTGATTGCTTCATATGTCACGTAATTATATTTTATTTATTTGGATAATTAAGAAGTTCTACGCCTCTCAAAGTCTTAAACCCATAAATCTTCTCTAATCAGAGACTAACCATCGTGGGTACTCGAACTCGTGACCTTGAACTCTCTCCTTTGGATTATGTCATGTAATTTATACATATATGAAATGGAAACAAAAATCTCTGCTTCTTTGAGTTAGTCCAAATCAAAACTAGAGACCGACAAAAATGTTACATTGCAATTATCTTCAAGCATCAATTCTTCTTGGTTTCAGCTTACATGATCATCGATGAATCCGTTTGATCAGGATCTGTCTGAATCTCATGTGCAAGTTGTCTTGTTAAATGATCTGCTCGTTCATCGTGACCTCCTGCAAATGTATAAACCTTGAAAGCAAATTGAAAAGCCCTCCATAGCCTTTTAGCTCTCTCTGCCTTCATATTATTCATCTTGCTTTCTTCACTGTTCTTCGCCTCCTCGTTCGCTTCTCTCCTCTCCTAGAAAAACAAATATAGAGATCTTAGTCAGTTTCATCTCCAGGAATCATATTCTATAGTCAGTTTCATCTCCAAGAATCATATTCTAACTTTGTATGTATATATAATATACCTTTAGTGCCAACTCCATGCAATTTGATGAAACATCAACCATAGTTTCTTTGACTTGAACAAGAACTTCGAAATCGATATTTATGTTGTGTCTCTGAAACATTTTAGCTTCTTCCTCTTTTGTTCGTTCCACTGTTTCGATCTCTCCTTTAAATTTGTTGAAGTAACGCTCTATCTTGTCGAGCAGATCGTTTAATGGAGGCTCCATTTTCCAGTTCTTGAGCTCAACTAGAATCCCATCTAACTTCTTGTACAAGGCACCAGCTGTTCTTATGGCTTCTAGTTTCTTCTCAGGGAAACCTTCAAACCTCGCGAGTACCTAAAGAATCAAAAGAAACTTAATTGTATACACAAAGATTTCGAGTAATAGACATGGAGAAAACGTACTTGAGTTTCATCAGTTAGTTTCTCAAGAACAGATTCCACTTTGCTATGAAACTCGAGCAATTCTTTCATGTCTTTTGTCTGGAAATTTTGTATTGAAGATTTCAATTCTTCAATTGATTTCGCGTATTTCTGAACATCTTCTTCTATTTGCTGGAAATAACTCGACCTGAGACACAAATTGAAAAGACTCAAAAACTCAGACATAAGGAAATGACTTGTGACGCAAGTCTTTTACCTTTTTGTCATCTCTGCAAGTGCATCAGCCATTCCTGATCTTGCACCTTTAACAGGAGATTTCTCTGCAACATTATTCTGCCCTTTGCTTGCTTTTGCTGTTTTTCCTTCTACGCCACGGCCTTCAAGCTTCCCTTTGAGAACCCAATAGAGATTTGCAATTTGTGCTGATCTTCTCAATTTGCTAGTTGCTTTCTTGGCACGCAAGGATCTTCCACTACCCGGTGGTGCCGGAGGTGCTGGCATCGACGTCGGACTGTTATCGCCATTGATAGATTGAGGTTTCGTAAGTGGACAAAAATCTCCACAATCATGTGTTCTTGAAGGTGGTGGTGGCGGGGGAGGAGTAAGAGCTTTTCTTTCCGGTTGTGGTGATGATGGAGGTGGCGGTGGCGGTTGTGAGAGAGGAGTAGCTTTCGTGTTGAAAAATGACGCCTTTGGTGACGGCGATGGTGGTGGTGGCGGTGGAGAAGGTGGAGCCGGTGGAGTTACTGAGATTTCTTCTTGAAAAGATTCTATTGTGTTAGTCTCTGAAGTTGTAGTTTCGCTATGATCCTCCGTTTCAATATGATGCTCTGTTCCAGAACTTTCAGTATGATGCTCTCCTTCAATCTCATGCTCTGTTTCATAACCTTTAATATGATGCTCTGTTTCAGCCTCCTGCCCTGTTTCAGAACCTTTGCTATGATCATCTGTTTCGATTCCATGCTCTGTTTCTGAAATAGAGGAATCATTATCTTCTTCCTTCTCTGACAATGTCTCACTCTCTTCTTTTTCTTCTTCGATACTATTCTTAAGATCAAGATCTTGAACAAGGTCTGAATCTCTATGCGACAAGATCTGCATAGCAAGCCGCTTCAGATCAACGGGGCTTAACTTATCCAAAGCTTGAGCTCTTAAGTTCCAAAGACTCGGAGATGTTGAGTTACTACTAGACATCATCATCGTCCCAGGAAGAACCGATCTCGGTGTTAATGGAGATTGGTAAAAAGAGTTGTTACTCTCTGAATAAGACACTGATCTTGTAAAGCTTCTTCTTGCTTCTGATGAAACACCTTTTGCCGTAAAACTCTTTCTTTCTTCAGATTCAAGATCCATCATACCAAATCTTTCTCTTGTCATCTTGATTAGTCCATCAAGAGCTGCTAAAACATGCTCCACTGCAATAAAAAAAAAAAAAACTTAATCTCTAGGTTTATCAAGATCCTCAGATATATAAATTCAACAAGTGTTAAGTGAACAAACCAAGACGATCTGATTTATTCTTCCCAACACCACTGTTCTTGTACTTAGATCGATAAATCCAGTCACTATCCATAATCCAAGAATCACCAATAGCTCTGAGATCCTCATAGAAGAAAATCAACATCTGTTTTTGGGGCATTTCTGGGATTCATCAATCAGATCAACAAGACTCATCAAGTAAACAAATGACGCTAACTCAAGAACTATTTTTATTTGATGATTTTTTTTTTTTTATTAGTATGTAACTCAAAACTTGTTTTAAACCCTTTGTGTACCTTATCCATCTCAGCTCCTTCCATTTCAAAAGATTTATTAATGGTTACAATCTCTGGAGAAAGCTTTTGTAGATCCTTCATTGTTTGTCTGATGATCTAAAATAAAAACAGAAAGAAAAAGATCTTATTACACTCTCATATTCTCTGAAAATGTAATAATGTTAAGAGAAATGATCACCTCGGTGACAGAGAGAGAACCATCAAGAGAAGGCAAATCAATCATTTCTCTGAAAGCAAAGATGTTCTTCCTCAGCTCCACCATTAAAATGAAGTTCGCAGTACATTTCGGCGAAGAACCTTCGGAATTGTTGTTTCTTGGTGTATTAGGTTTCTTCTTTTCGATCTTTACCGACAAAGGAGACACCGCACCGCCTGAAGTAACAACGGCTTGTTTTGTAGGATTGAAGCTCTTTGGAGAAGCTTCTACAACTGAAGATATTTGTGAAACTGTGCGTTTGATATTTTTACTGTTCTTTTTATCGACATTAATCTTTGACGTTGATGTACGTCTAAACTCGTGTTTGCCCTTGATAAGTTTCTTTAGAGCAAGCCCTCTCGCAACCTAACAAAAACATTGAAGTTTCAATAATCTTGTCCATACTATTTCAACATATATAAATACAAAAGTCTGCAAATAAAGACAATAATACAAACAATTGAGTCGTATATTTTAAGAGAAAAGAAAAAAACCTGTAATCTTGAGAGCTTGCGACAGAAGGTTATTGGCGTGAAGCCACAAAGCATCCTGCTCGACATTGCGAGTTTTGAAGTCGAAAAATATGTTTTTTCTTCAACCAAGAAGAGATTTAATCAGGAGAAGCCATTAGAAAGAGAATCTGGTTCTCTTTCTTTTTCTTAAAGAAGACGTGCTTAGGAAGAAAGATTTGGTTTTCCTTCAACCCTTTTGAGCATAGAATGAGAAAAAAAAATAGAAGTCAGAGATAAAATCAATCCAAAACCCCTAGAAAGATTGATCCCCGAAGAGATGTTTGATCTTTCTCTCTTTCTCTATCTCTATCTCTAGATCTTTTGGTTATTATTAGACAAGTTTCAAATGATAGAAATCGCTGACTATTATAGTCACTGTTTAATTCTATCAAAACACTTATTAATTCTTGAAGTTTATGCTAAAAATCGCAGAAGCAGAGATAGTAGATAAGGTTTAAAATTGGGGTTCGTAGGAGCAAAATCAACCTTAGTATCACCGTTGAAGGTTAGCTGTTATTCTTAGGTTTACTAAGATTTTCTTTTCAATGCTAATAATTCATTAAGAGTTCTTTTTTTGTGTGCAAATCATAAAGAGTTCTTAAATTAGATTTTCTAAGTCTAGCTACCAAATCATTTCAAAAAGCTGAAGAAATATAAGAAGAACAAAAATTATCAAAAAAATATTTACATAAGAGTAAAAACAAAGGATCGAAGAACAATCTGCATAGACCTTAAATAATTTCTTGAGAAAGAAGCAACCGAGTCAAGTGTGCATTGGGTCATTAACCCTAATTAATGCTCCTTATTTTACTATCATGTGTTTATAAAACTAAGTAAATGGACTTAGATAATAGTAAAATTAGGAAAATGGAACTAATAATCAAAAATTATGTTGATACATATTATACATAGAAATTATGATTATATTGTCCTTATAATTATTTGATGCAGTTTTGGTGGATAACAATTTGATTATCATACTAACTAATATGATATTGTGTTAACTATGCTAACTAATATGATACTCGATTAGCATATTTAAATAATAGCACGTTAAGATAATAGTTATCATGTTAATTGTGTTAACAATGCTAACTAATATGATGTTTGATTAGTACATTGTACAAATAACGAGTTAACACGATAACTATTGTGTTAACGTTGCTATTATTTCATAAAATAGGAGTTAACTTTGTTAACTGTATAAGTTATGCAAAATTATCATGTTCACAATGTTATCATATCAAAAATTTATCATACTAATGTTGTAATTATGATAATTATCATGTTAACATTGTTATCACATCTTTTATCTCATTACCACCATCACCCACCGCCATCACCGACACTCCACCACCGACATTACCACCACTATCGCCATTACTGACACAACTACCATCACCACCACCACTATCGGCATCGTCATCACTTCCATCACTACCAACCCGCCATCACAAACACAACCATCACCACCGCCAGGCCTGGCCCAAGGGAGTGGGCAGAGGTGCGCCCGCCTAGGGGTCCAGACCAAATTTTAGACAATACTGTATATTTAAAAGCCCATTTTGAAAATATTAATCTAATAAAATATATTTTTTATTTAAATTATTTTTTTATTGACAAAATCATTAGAAAAGGACCTAAAAAATTTAGATTTTTGATATTAAAAGGTCTAAAGTTTTGATTTTTAATATTGAAAAATCCAAAATTTCGATTTTTGATATTAAAGGGTCCAAAAAACTTTTTTGCCCAAGGACTTTAAAATTCATTGGGTCGGGGCTGACCACTGCATACATCGCCACCACCACCACCATCACTGGCATCACAACTATCACCATCATCACCGGCATCGTCGCCACCTCCACTATCATCGGTGTATTATCATCATCACCATCGAAAATGAACAGAAGGAGTGCACAGTAACATGGAGAGAGAAATAAAATCTGTCGGTTAATTGTGGTTATTTGAGTCTAAAACTAAACTATACAATAACGATATATATATATATATATATATATATATTACGAGTTATATTTTTACAATTACTAGTTAATACGCTTCTTCACACAAATCAATGCATGGTGTCTCCTCCGCAGCATGACAAAATCCGAACCATGCATAATTATAATTAGGGCTGTTTGTGACCCTAATCTTTAAAAGAAGCAGAAATTTATCAAAAGTTTTTAAAAACAAATTATTTCAGAAAATAGTTGACTTTGACAATGTACAACGGCGTTAACCGGTTTTTGCTTAATGGGGTTTACTGGTTTGTATATTCTTCACATTCTATTGATCTATTTGATAGTCAAAGATAGAAAGTGACAATAACAAGGTCCTGTTCAATTTGAAGGAGCGTATATGTATTATAATAATTTGTTTTTACAAGTCGATTAATAATAACAAGGTAACGATCTCATATATGAGTATTTGTTTGCATTTTTAGTTTGAGAGCACTTCAAATTTTGTAAGATTATTAAACGAATAACACCAAACTTTAACTAGTATCTATAAATTAAAAGAAATAACAGGAGATAATTAAAAATCACTGAGTCATAAAAATTTAAAATGTGAATATTAGTCAAAACGAGTGTTGTAGACTCGTAGACGATGATTGGATAACTTGATCACAATGAATTATTAATTTTACACCTTCCAGGGGAAATTTTAAAAGTCAATATTCAAATTATATACCATTATTTTTAATAAGATTGCTGATTAAATATCGAGAAGCTAGCAGGCTATTGAACCCTCTGCGAATATGTTAAAATTTCGTCTCTTTGAAATACTATTTCGGTGATCGGTGGTATAACAAACATTTCTTGAGCTGTCTTGTTTGTTCTTCTATTATATGAACTTTTAACTCTGTCAAGATAGTAGAGTGGGAGTAGAGCTAGGACTAGAGTGTAAGTTTCCGTTCAGAGGTAATATGTTAAACACTAAAAAAAAAACAAAATCGGATTATGGCAGTGCAAAATTCTTTCTTTACTCGACTTGGATTGGATTTACTGGTCAACGTAGTATGACTCATATCCAGGAACTTGAATGATGGATTATGTCGATGTTATGACTCATTATGATGTGTCATGTGTGTGTGTGTGTGTGTGACCGATTGAGATCTTTAGGTGATGCAAATCCAATCTATAGGTAAGAGCCCTAGAAACATCATCACGTCTCATTTGATTATTATTTTTATTTTTTGGAGAAATTAGCTGTATCGATACGAATTTTCCACGCTAAATTACATATTAATTATATGTAGTTACCCATTATAAATATGATTTATTTCAATTTTAAAACCAGAACACTCATCCTAATTGATAAGCCAAACTCATGTAGTGCATATATACATTTAGTCATGATGCATAGAGAGTATTATTAAAAGAGATAATAGAATGTTGACCAACTTGAAACATGTATTGGTTCGACTGTACAATCGATTTTGTTCGGTTCGGTTTATTAGTTTACAAAAAGTACTTAATTTTTTTTCATTTTGTTCTGTTCGGTTTATGGGTATAAAATATTCGAATATTGGTTTTATTTAAATAACCTAGATATATGTATGGCAAGACGTTATGCGCGATCGTCTATAATGTATGTGCTTGGCAAGACATCATTACACTGTTTACACAGTAATGTCATGCAACGTCAGTAGTGTAAGTAATGTATTATATTTACTTGACTTCATATGCGTATTCACTAAGGCATGCATATATATAAGCATGGTGAAATTTTCATTGGCCCTTTGGCTTTTAAATATTCCCAAAAAAGTTTCTCGATCAAAAGGCCATAATATTGACCAAGCTCGTATATTATTTAATTAGTCACATATGATGGGAAAATATCTATAGGTCCCCATCCAACTTTAACTTGCTCTCATACGATAAAAACGTATTAACTATAGAAAAACGCAACAAGATATTTAATTACTCTCATTTTATATTTAAAAGTACTGAATACATGCAGTATTCAATGCATACAGTCCTCGGTACCAATATATAAGAACGTCCATTAGGTCTTGAAATTTCTAGTCACGTAATCGCGTTAAAGAAATTTAATAGTTTTGGACCAATATCTCTAATAAAATACTTCTCAGCCTTATCTCGTAGATTTCATAAAGAATCTTAAAATAGAGCTGGTATCTCTTCTGCAGTGAGATAAGTTAGAACTATTTAAATAACTTAATTAGAGACTTAACCTTTCAAAAAATCAATCAATGTCGACATATTTACCTACATATATATATTAAATGCATCTGTATGCAATTCTAACATTTTGGCTATTCTATTAGTTTATGTTCCAAATGACTGACTAAATTTGGGCTGGTACGACAAAGATAGTTTTAATAGTAAAAAATAAAATGTGGTATCAGTCAGAGATAATGCTGCAAAAACTAATGGTATGAACGGTATTTTCCACAATTTGAATAATATATATGTTCAAAAACTAAATTCAGGCTTTTATTTCAGATCAGGTCCCTTCAATATCTAATTCCATGAAATTTTTAGTCAAAAAGATGGCTTAATTTTTAGTCAACCAAAGACGAATTACGCCGTTTGTTTGTACCTTCTGTATGTTTATTTCTTAATCGAACTCTCTTTTTGAGCATTTAACTTAATATAAATTTAACATATCAACAAACAAAATTGATAAGAAAAAGTAATAGCATAAGTAACTCAAATATATTTACAAATATTCTCACTCATCACCTTTGGTCTTATTTATATAAAACGCAAAAGGGTTTAATTGGGACGACTACGACTTTCATATAAAGACTTAGAGGCACATAGGAGAGAAAACAAATTAAAGACAGAAACAATGTTAACATCGAGGGCATGGATCATCTCTTCGGGTTTGGTCGGAGCTATATCACTGATGCTCCGATCGGCGCTGAACTTCTCCGTCACCGGATCTCGCTTTTCTCTCCCTACTTTTAACCCTCTCTTCATCATCATCAACTGTATCATCTTCGCTCTCGCCGCCTCCTCATCTTTCTTCGACAATGGATCTGACTCTCCGGCCACAGAACACCACCATGATGATGATGATCACTATCATTATGAGCAAGATCATCATTATAACCATAACCTTGACCACGACCGTTCTTCGAATAAATCTTCCGATTCTTCGTTTAATCAATATAACAAAAAGGTTCCCGAAGAAGAAAAGTTTCCGGTGAGATCAGAGACTGGTGGATCTTACGGTGTTCATCGACCGGTTTCTTATCCGGAAGTTCACTTTCCGTCAACGGCGCCGCCGGAAAAGGCTGCCGGACTCCGACGTCCACCTACAGCTCCTTCAAAGACTTTTCCACTAGGTATGTATTATGTACGTTAGACTTGTTATAACAAGTCTATGATATTTTCATGTAACACTTGTTAACTTACAACTTTATAAAACTAGATGAGTATCTAATTATAATTTGTATTTTTTGCGACTAAAAACTATATTTTGTATTAATTTTTTTTTTAACTAACTACAAATTCGTATATACATGTATAAATGGATTATATCAGATGACAAATCGGGTGATGAGAACGAGACGATGGAGGAGATGTGGAAAAGAGTCAAAGCCGAAAAATTGCAACCAAAGAAATCTAACACGCGGCGGCAAGGCCACGTCCTCTCAAGAAACGACTCAAAAATGTCCACATCGTCGTGTCCATCTCCGTCGGGATTGAGGAGGCCTTCTCCGTTGCCGGCGGCGGCTCCGGGAATGAAGTTGATGGAGAGAATTCCGTCGTGGGTGAAACTCAAAAAAGAGATATCGATGGGAAGAGACGAGCTCAATTCACGAGTTGAAGCTTTCATTAGAAAATTCAACGATGAAATGAAATTGCAAAGGCTCGAATCTTTAAAACGTTACAATCTTTTCCGTCGTCGGAGCGATGATGAAAAGTAATAAAAATGTTATAATATGCTCATATATTCAATATTTAACGAGATTGGTCTTGTTGTATCGTATGGTTTAGAAGATGAGATCATGCATGTGTGCATATGTGTATGTCTTTAGATTTGATTATGTATAAATGTTGTGAACAAATCCACATATTACTACATTCATCTTAATTTTACTCTGATTATGTATCTCAATCTATAATCCAAATTTGCTGCTTTGATAGATTTTGATCCATGTTTTTAAGAACTAGCAAAGTGTCCTTACGTACAACCGGTCCGCTGGTAAAACCGGTCCGACCACAATCGTTTGAATTAGTCACCGGTCCAATATTTATATTTATTAAATAGTTTATTTTAATTAAATTAATGATCCCGATTTTTTCTCTCGCTTCTCTGCTTAACCTCAAAACTTCTTCTTTCCTTTGTTCTCTCATTCAACTTCTCTCGAATCAGAAAATCTTCTTCTTCCGTTTGAATTTGCAGGTGAGTTTCCCCCGAACATCTTACTTTCGAATTCGTATGATTTACGAACTTTCTTCGCTATGGCTTTTCAAAGCCGTATGATTTACGAACCTTCTTCGCCCTGTGTTTTAATCTCAAATCTGTTTATGAGTTACGGCAGAGCAACACCAAATCACGATTCGTAATCAATGATTGTATTTTCCCCCTAATTTTACTTGGATTTAGGGTTTTAATTGATCAATCGGCTTGCACGACTCTTAAATCAAGCTTATGGGTTTCCATTGTTCGGTGTTATCTTGCTAAATCTGAAATCCTGTTACTGTGTTTGGGGATTAGAGCTTTGACTTGGGGTCTGTTGGATGAAAAAATCTAGGTTTGTGATTGCTTAAAGCAAGATATTGGAAGCTTAGTGAAGAAATTAGCTTAGAGATGATGATTCTATTTGTTTCGCCTTTTTTCTGATAGAATCTTAAAAACTCTCATATGACTGTGTTTGGGGGCATTAGAGTTCTAATTTTGAGATGTGTTTTATGAAGAAAAGCTGTGATTTTGATTACTCCTAACAAGATATTTGAAGCGTAGTGTAGAAATTATCTTCTTAATAGGTTAGAGATGGGTTCTATTTGCTTTTGCTTTTCTTCTCTGTTTGATCATTTCTTATAAAATCTAAAACTCATGTTATTGTGTTTGGGGGCATTAGAGCTCTAAATCGAGATCTGTTATATGAACAAAACTGGGATTTTTGATTGCTCCCTAACAAGATTTAGGAAGCTTAGTGAAGAACTATTAGCCTCTTAATAGGTTATGGTTTCCTTTAGATGATTCTGTTTGCTTTTTCTCTACTTGTTGATTCCATGTTTTCTTCTATTATAATTTCCTGTGTGTTGTGGATTTGAGTTTTGACTTGCGTCTGTCTGGTTATTGATACAGGAAGGAAGCTCTCCTTCTTTCATTCTTTGCGTCTCTTCTCCATAGATTGACTTTGCTCGTAAGATAAAAAAAGATGATGGAGGTCAAATTATGGAACGACAAGCGAGAGAGAGAGATGTACGAGAATTTCGCAGAGCTTTTTGCAATCATCAAAGCCACGGAGAAGCTAGAGAAAGCCTATATCAGAGACCTGATCTCACCTTCAGAGTACGAATCAGAATGCCAGAAGCTCATTGTCCACTTCAAAACTCTATCCGCTACACTTAGAGACACGGTCCCAAACATCGAAAGATTCGCAGACACATACAAAATGGACTGTGCAGCCGCTGTATACCGCCTCGTGACCTCAGGCGTACCGGCCACGGTGGAACACCGAGCCACCGTAGCAGCATCCACGTCAAACTCCGCGTCCATTGTCGCTGAGTGTGTGCAGAACTTCATCACATCAATGGATTCTTTGAAACTGAACATGGTCGCTGTTGATCAGGTTTATCCTCTCTTGTCTGATCTATCGGCTTCTCTAAACAAACTGAGTATTTTACCGCCGGATTTCGAAGGGAAGACGAAGATGAGAGAATGGCTTCTGAGGTTGTTGAAGATGGGAGCAGCAGATGAGCTCACGGAACAGCAGTCAAGGCAACTTCACTTTGATCTTGAGTCATCGTACAACTCTTTCATGGCAGCTTTGCCTAAAGCTGGTAATTGAAACCAGTGTAGTAGGTTTGGTTTCTTGATTTTGTGTGCAAAGTCTTTGTTTTACTCTAGTCTCTAATAGTAACTCCCTAGACAAATCTACACGTTTGAGGAGTTGAATGTGCTTGTTTGTAAAGAATCATACGATATTTTGGTTATATCTATACTATTAAAAGAAAATCATTCTTAATAAATGTTTAAAAGCTACTATGGTATTTACAATATATGTTATTATATTTTTTAGATAATTTCATTAATTCATTAAGGTTAATTTAGTTATAATATTAAACTACTAAAAATGTATTAAATTAAATTAAATTATATTAGTTTATTAACAGATAATACTAATAAATTATATCTGATATTAATAAAATTTAAATTAATTTAAATTCAAAATTATTTTAAAATCTTTCAAAATATCTTAACATAATTACTACAAATATATACGGATAAATAACTAATATAATTATATATTATATCATGAATTACTTATATATTATATTATAAACAATTTTTTCTCTATACAATTAAAAAAAAATCACTACTTTAAAATGTCTAAAAACTAATATGATATTTATTAAATGTGATAATTTATATTCAATGATGAATGTGTAATCATTATTTTTTTATTACAAAAAAATATTATGTAAATAATTTTTTTTTTGGTTTATTAATGATTTTTTTTGCCAGAAATTATGGGTTTGCGGATTTGACAAATACAAATTTGTAAATTTTACGGATTTTACAAGTTTTAACGGATTTTATAAGTTTTAGCGAAAAATATACTTTTATGAGAAAATGCCGGTTTGATAAGAAATGGACTTTTGTAGATTTAATAGAAACACATGATTTTAGAAATTTGGTTGTAAATAATGATTTTGCAGATTTATAGGGTTTACGGGAAAACAAGGGTTTACGAAATGCAAATAAAGCAATTTTGTGGATTTTATGGATTTTACAGGTTTTAACGGGAAAATGTAGTCACACGGGAAAATGCGGATTTGTGGATTTAGAAACTCGATTTTGCAGGTTTTGCAGAAACACATGAGTTTAGAAATTTGGTCGTAAAACATGATTTTATGGATTTTACAATTTATATTGCAGAAGCACTCACAAATAAACGATAAAAAGCAAGAGTAAACCACCGCCCTGGAAAAACTAAAAAAACACAACAAATAAACCGCAAGCGATGTAATGTCAAAAACCTCATTGGCACAATACAGCGAGTGCACAAAAAAACAAGAGAAAATGGGGGGGGGGGGGGGGGGGGGGGGGGGGGACTTACCTCGCAAGAGTCTCGGTCTCAGCGGCCACTTCAGCGTCATCTGAATCTACCAAGCTAGGTGGATCCTCGGAAGTCATCTTCTTCTTCTTTGCAGAAGCACTCACGGGCGCATCTGCGACACCGGGTGAAGCCGCCTTTCTCTTTCTCCGACCAGCCTTTGCAGGCTTCGGTTGCGAGGCCCTTCGTGAAGCTAAAATAATAAACACGTCAATAAAATCAAGCACTGGTTAATACCGCTCTAATTTTGCAACCTACCTGCTTTCGGAGGCTTGACTTTCTCCTAGGCAGGCTTAACCGCTTTCTGTCTAGCAGCCCCTTTCTTCTCTTTATCGGCCCATAATTGCCGGCTCACGTCACGCAACCTCTTGACGTCATCACTAAACCCGATTGGGTTTCTACCAGACGTATCTCCACTATAATGACGAATACGTATTAGTACCCAGCGAGTCACCAAACAGAAAAAAAAAAAACAATCAATCTCCTTACATGGTGCCGATTTCCAAGTTCTGAAGAGGGTGAGATCGGAACCACCGATAGACGCCTCGTTAATCTCGAAAAAGAAAAACCGGTCCCATTCATGGACCTTGCTCGTCGGATCACCACCTATGATTCCCTCCTTCATCATAGTGTAAAAATGGCGCCACCCGCCATGGTTCACCCTTCCTCTCTTCAGGATGGATACCCTCTAAAAAATGTCCCAGTTGAAGGGAACCATAGCTGCACGAGCCACCGCCGCCAAGCTATTGAAGTGGCGGATTACTGCATGACTAAGCTACGCCACCGGCATCTTCCTCCGTTCGCAATAACAGAGAAACAGCAAGATAGGGAACTGAAGGCCGAACTCCGAAATGACACTCGTATAAGCAGAAATAACCCTCTGGGTGTGTGGTCACTCTCTCGTGAACTTGAGGAAGTAACAGTTCAACTTCATCGGAAAAAACCGCATTTTGAACGAAGTTCTTCGAGCCTTTCTGCGGTCATCCAAGTCCTCCCGTCTTTAATGCCGGTCCTATGCGGCGACCTTGCAATCTTCTTAGGGAGACCCTCGACCCTGATCTCCGATTCGAAACTCGCTGGTCCAGGGCCATCCAAATCTATCTCGGAGTCCGTATCAGGATGATCCGACGGAATTTCATCTCGGTAGTCCAAAGACCCCTCGGAAGCAGAAGAAGTGGAAGCGACTGGACTAATCCAGACTTGCCTAGCACGGTCGGCAAGACAAATCCCGTCGTCATCGAAAGAAGAATGCAAGGAAGAAGCAGACATTTTTTAAACGAAATAAAAAAAGCAAAGGGAAGATAAGCAAACAAAAAAGAATCACTATAGAAGATTGTTGTAGAAATCGGCAAAAGAGACGAAGATTTTCTAAAGCAAAAAGATGAAAAGGTAAAAGGTAAAGTAAATAAACTCGGAAAGAAATATCAATAGTTTTCTAAGAAGATGTGTGTCAAGATTTTTACAAACTCGCCGCTTGGCGAACCCTTCACATTTCCCGCTTAAAAGTAGAAACCCTAATGGGTCGGAGTATTTAATAAATAAAAGCTCCGCATGACAAATCTGCTTAAAGCCAAGCCGAGCTGGCCATCGCAAAAACGACGCTCTCGACGAACTAACAACTATTGCGAGGTCAAACCTATCTATAACTTCATGAAGTCCGACGACCTGAATTACAATCAGTCCCGCGGGGGGGGGGGGGGGGGGGGGGGGGGGGGGGGGGGGGGGGGGGGGGGTTAGAGGGGAAATGAGCACATTTCCTAAAAGGCCTTCTCTCGCAATAACCTAAATCTATCAAGACCAGGAAGACCGCGCCAACCTAGCTCGGATTAAAGGAAAACTCTTAAAGGATAATTATCGAAGACCGGAAACATTAGATTAACCCAAAGGATAAAGGAGAATTTCTATATTCTTCAGAGAATAAAGGATATTTCCATATCGTAGATACGGAAATATTCACTAAAGACAGAAGGAAAAAGAACTCGAAGCAACCGACCTCCTATTCCTATAAATACAAAGATCACGAAGCCTGAAAGGACAACTCATACAATCCAATACATTCTAGAGAGCAATAGAGCTGAAACCAGAGACTCCAACGCTTTCTAGTTTACCTCACAAACACATTTTTCACTTCGGCATAACCTAACGGTTATTCCTTTTCTTGTAATCGCTTCGCTTATTACTATACTTTATTCTCCGAAACCCACAACTGTTAATCAGACCCTAGTGGTGATTTTCTAGTTCAACAACATGACTTTAGAAATTTGATCGTAAAACATGATTTTATGGATTTTACAATTTTATGGAAAATATGGATTTGTGGATTTTGTCAGAAACGTGATTTTGCGGATTTAATGAGGTTTACATATTTTGGCGGGGTTTATTGGTTTTGATGGAAAATGCATGTTTGCGGGTTTGATGAGAAACGTAATTCTGCAGGTTTGACAAAAACACGTAATTTTAGAAATTTGGTCATAAAATACGCTTTTATGGTGTTGGGGAAAACATAAATTTCAGTTTTGTTAAAAAAATGTGGGTTTACAATTTTGGAAGGAAAATACAGTTTGATGAAAAATACTATTTTTCAGTTTCCACAGAAATTCCTGATTTTGGTACAACAACATAATTTTAGTAATTTTTTATTGTTAAAAATGTGAGTTTACAGTTTTGACAGAAAAATACTGTTTGATGGAAAATGGTATTTTTTACAGGTTCTATGAAAATTCTCAATTTTTAGTACAATAACGTGATTTTAGTATTTTGCGGAAAAATGCGGCTTTTTCTAAAAAAACTATAATTTTATGGTTTTGACAAAGAAAAAATTGATTTTATGGTTTAAATTAAAAAGTTTTTGGTCTTTTAATGTTTGAGATTCAAATATTGCATCCAAACTTCTGGATGCAAAAACAAACAAAATTTAAATAAATATAAAATTTCTCTTGCATTATAAAACATAATATTTTAAAAATAGTTGTTACAAAATCTAACCAAAAATTCGCTAATCAAAATATTTTTTTAAAAAAAGTCAAGCTTAAATAATTTTTAGAACATAAAATTATAATATAAAAATAGTTTATATAATCTAATAAAGAAAATTGTTTGGGCCACAATTTTAGATTTAATAATATAAGATAATTTTTTTGAACTAAAATTTAATATAAACCGATTTTGATATAAATTAAAATATTTTACGAAAAGAAACCCGTGCACGGTCCAAAATCTAGTGAAGTCTATTAAAAGCAAATATATGTATGAAAACTGTATATGTGAGTATTTGTAGTGATTGATTTGGTTATAGTGTCCGATTTAATTAATACATTGCGAGTAACTGTAGTGGTTTGGCCAAAAATTATAGGGATTTTTTTTCAAGAACTGTATATGTTTTGGTTGATTTTTTAAATTTATAACCATCAATTTTTTTTTTTTTTTTTAAAATCACTGATATGATCCGATTGGTCAAAAAAAGAAAATTAGAAAGTGATGCTATAATTTAAAAAAGTTATATCATTTTTTTTGCAAGTCATGTGTCACATCTATCACTACATAATAATTATTAGAGCAAAAAAAAATGTAATCAAACAAATCTTACCATTTTTTATGGATCATCATATAAGCATGCACTACTATTTTGTATATAAATCTCTACCATTTTTTATGGATCACCATATAAGCATGCACTATACTAATTACATATTTCTATATACTATATAAATTTCAAGTTTTCAACCATCAAA